GAGGCAGCCACGGGAGTGGATCTGGGCTCGGCCAGGGCCGGCGGGAGAGGCAGGGGCAAGAAGAGGCGGCAGTCCGGGCTGACCAACCTGAAGCAGCAGGCCAACACCGCCCGCACACGCATCGCCAAGAAGATCTTCGCTAAGTAAGCGCCGCGCGGAGCCCTGGGTTCGAGGTGCTGGAGGGGAGCCAGCCTGGCTCCGTGGGCCCCCTCTGCCTCGAGCATCTTCCGTGGCCACGGGCCCCCGGGTAGGATAGGTGTCCCCAGCCAGTGGAGGGGACAGTTCTCAGCTGCAGCGGAGCTGGGAGCTGGTGGCCCTGCAGCTGGCAGCCAGCCGAGCATCTTCCCGAGCGGGGCCTGCGTCCTGCCGTGCCAGCTGACCGGGACTGGCTGGCCCACGTGGTCAGTGGCGGTGTCCACGCGGTTCCGTCCCGGCTGACAGGGCGGGTTTGCCGCGTGGGTCTCAGCAGCAGCAGAGCTGAGCCGGTGCCACCGGAACGCAGGCACCCGCGTGCTGCTCCCCTCGCTGGCCTGGGGCCAGGGCCCCTCCCAGCTGGACCAGCAGGCCAGAGCAGGGAGGCCACCAGCCCAGCCCCTTGCCCAGCTCCCTGCTGTGGTCAGCCAGAGGGCCCCGCCAGGTCCACAGTGTGGCCAGAAAGCGTTGAGGGCGGCTGTTCAGGCAGCTCACAGCCGCTGCCCGTTCCCAGACGTCTGTGGCAGCTCGCGAGGCGGTCCGCAGGCGGCCCTCTCCCTGCCAGGTGCCCGGCTCCACGCCCCGGGCAGCGGCTCCTCCTGCCCTCCCTGCCGGCCTCGCCCTGCACCTGAGCGGGGCTGGACAGGGCGCCGCCTCCTCAGTGCCCACATGCTGCTGGCCCGTCCTGTCCTTCTGCGTCCAGAGGAGGGCTCGGCCCCACCCAGACACGAGGCCGGCTTCCCGCGGCAGGGCAGGGTCCAGGGCGCTGTGGGCTCCGACATGGAGGGCTGCGCTGCCTGCATCCTCTCGGCCGTGCTGACCACACACCCGGCTGTCCCTGCTCCGTGGCCTCGGCTGCTCCCTCCGGGGCACGGACCTCCGTGTCCAGACCCCACCACCACAGCAGCCACTGAGCAGAGGCCCCCCACGTCCTCAGCCCTGTCTTCCTCACGCTCAGACGTGGGCTTGGTGGCCTGCATCCCACGCGCCCCAGTTGCGCAGCCTACTCGCTGCTCCCCCACCACGGGCGGGCGGGCTGTGGCCTCGACCCGCGGTGCAGCCGGCACGGGTGGGGCCACCTTGGGCTTGGAGCTCCAGCCGCCCTGTCGCTCATTAGCTGGGAGTTGGCAAGTGGTCCGAGTGGGCGACGCCCTGGCCCCGCCCCATCCCAGCGCAGCTGCGGTCGGAGCCCGGAGCCCTGGCCCGTCCTGCTCACGTCCTGCTCTGCTCTGCCCACAGGGCGGCCGTGCAGAGGGTGGTCACAGCCATGACCCAGATGGACCAGAAGAAGCATGAGAAGTTCGCAAACCAGTTTAACTACGCGCTGCACTAGAGGGTGGGCCAGGTGGCCACGGCCATCATCGCTGGTCCCCCGGCAGCTCCCGGGGCGGGACAGCGGGCGGCCCCACTGTGTGCGCCCAGTGTGCGGAGGCGCTGATTAAAATGCCCGGGTGCGGGCCTCCCCTGCCCTGAGGCCGCTGCTGTCGTGGTCACTGGTCTGGCCGCTGGAAGGCCCTTGGAGCCCGGAGGGTGAACTTGGGCCGTCATGTTCCTTGTGGGCATCGTGCAAAGCCCGTGCGCTTTGTGATGTGGTTCAGTCGGTGGCATGCACCCTCAGCTTGACATGCAGAGTGACTGCTGCCCCCACCCCCAGCCCCCAGCCTTCTGCGGGGTGGCGACTCAGGGCGGCTGGGAAAGCCCACACTTTTATGTAAGCACTGTTTTCACACTGTCACAGCTGTGTCCCCAACACAGGCCGTCCTGGGTGGCCTCCGTTGGGCAGAGGACTGCTCCTCTCTGTTCGCAGACACGGTGTCCGTGTGGGGCGAGTCACAGCCCGTAGCGTCCACTCTCTTAAAAGTGCGCAGGTCAGTGGCATCCACTGCGTTCATGGAGCTGTGCCCCACCCCACTGGCCAGGCCCAGCTTCATCCCCCTGGGCAGCCACTCCCATCCCCCTCCCCGGCCCTGGCGCCCTCCGGTCTGCTGTTTCTGGGGCTCCCTGTCTGGACACTGGGCAAGGGGGGAGTCGTGGCGTGTGGCCTTCATGCCTGGTGTCACAGCATGGTGGCTTGGGGGTCCCACCCTTCTCTGGTGCCCTGGGACACTCTGCGGAGTGCAGGTGCCCCCGCTGGTCGTCTGCTCGTGTCAGCCTGGGGGCCGTCCGCGTTCCCGCTGTCACGAAGGATGCCACCGAGGACGTCCGCGTGCAGGCTCGCGCAGGACCGCGGCTCCGTGTGCCCCAGCAGTGTGCGAGGGTCCCCACGTCAGTGGCCGACACGTGGTATCACGTCTCTGGTCAGCCGTGCGAGTGTGTACAGGGGTGCCCCCGCCATTCTGGGGGTCTGGGGCGCATCCCCAGTGATTAATGGCGGGCAGCATCTTTCCACACGTCTGTTGCCCATTTGTGGGTCATCTTTGGAGAAATTTCCGTTCGGGTCGTCTGCCGTCTTTTAATTACGTTGCTTTGAATGGTGAGAGTTCTTTGTCTGTTCTGGGTCGTGGACCTTAAATGGTTTGTGAGTATTTCCTGTCATCTTTTCACTTTCTCCACAGTGTTCTTTGAATCCAAAAGTCGACCATGTTGATGATGTTCAGCACATCTCTCTTTTTGTCACTTGTGCTTTCGGTGTCATATCTGAGCCACCGTTGCCTGGTGCAAGGTCACGAAGGTGTGCCTCTGTGTTTTCTCCTAAGCGTACTACGGTTCCAGCTTCCTGTTCGTCAGTCACAGCACATTCGGCGTGATCTCACGTTCGTTTCAGGTGTACAGCATAGTGGTGAGACATTTGCGTCATTTACGAAGGGACCGGCCGGTTAGTCTGGGGCCCACCAGGCACCATGCACAGTCATTACCACATTATTGACCACATTCCCTGTAATGCACGTCCTCGTGTGGCTTCAGCTCTTAAATTCAGGTGTTTGATCCACTTTGAGTTAATTTTTACACCTGCTGTGAGATAGGCTCCGTTCTTTCGAGTGTGGACACCGAGCTGTCTGGGCACCACTCGTCGACAAGATTGTTCCTCCCCCGCTGCGTTCTCTGGGCACCGTGCTGGGCGTCAGCTGACCGTGCATGCCTGAGCGTATCTCTGGGCTCCGTCTCTGTCCCATGCCAGCACCAGCGTCTCGATTAATGCAGCTCTGCGGTGATTCCGGAGTTGGGGACAGTGGGACCCCAACTTTGTTGTTTTTTCGAGGTCGGTTTTGCTATTCTGGGTCCCTTGGGTTTCCAGGTGAATTTTAGGATCAATTTGTCAATTTCTGCGAAACGGAGAAAAAGGCAGCGGTGATTTTGTCACAGGTTGCGTTGAATCTGTCACCTCGGCAAGTGTCGTCATCTTAACACTGAGTTTCCTGACTTGCGAACTTGGGCCATTTTTTCATTTATTTGGATCGTTATTTCGGTGTTTTGTAGTTTTCAGCGTGCAGGTTTCGTGCTTGTTTTGTCAAATTTATCCTAAGTATGTTATTCTTTTTACGCCATTGTAAATATAATTGTCTTCTGAATTTCGCGTTTGGATTGTTTGGTGCTGATACAGAGAAATACGGCTGACTTTGGTGCGTCGGTCTTGTATCTGCAACCTTGCTGAACTGGCGTGTGGACTCTGGGGATGTCCTGTGCACACAGTCACGTCATCTCCAAACAGGAGATGCACCTCTCTGGCCGCGCTGGGGCCCTGTGCCTCTTCCTGCACCTGCCGCCTGGCGTGTGCCTCCGGCGTGGCGTCCGCAGTGGCGCCGACAGAGGCGTCCTCATCCTGGTCCCCGTCTCGGAGGAAGAGCCTCTGCCTGTCACCGCCGAGTGTGACGTGGGCCGTGGGTTTGTCGTTTCGTTCATGACTTCCGCTACGTTGAGGTAGCTCCTTCTGCTCCTACCTCGTGGAGTATTTTTCATGAAGGGACGAGGAGTTTTGTCCACGTTTATTGAAACGACCGTGTCGTGCCTTGTGCATCACATTCGCTTTTCCTCCTCGAGTCAGCGCCAGTAGTTTGTGTGTTTCCAGAAGTTCGTCTGTTTCATCTAGGCTGTTATAATTTGTCGGCTTACAATTATTTGTGGTAGAAATAATCTTTATTTCTGTAAAGTGGTAGAAATGATTTTGGAGATTCGAGTCTTCTCTTTTTTTATTTTCTTGGTCAGTCTAGCTAAAGGTTTATCAATTTTACTGATCTATTCAAAAACCAACTTTCGGCTTTGTTGATAGTCTCTTTTTTCCATTCTTTATTTCATTAGTTTCCACCCTAATCTTTATTATTTCGGTGGGGTTAGTTTTCCTTCTAGTTTCTTACGGTGGAAGATTAGCTTATTGATTTGAGATATAGCTTCTTTTGAGCATAGGTGTCACGTGGTGAACGCACAGCGCAACATCCGTATGACCTCGTATTGAATCGTGCACTTGAAACCTGAGTAATCCTGTTAACCAGCGTCACCCCAGTAAGTTCAACTAAAACAAACAGCAGGTGTTCACAGCCGCGGACGCCTCACCCGCGCCCCCGGTCTCGTGCCTCTGCCGGAGCCTGCCTTCCCCGTCACTCACTCAGGAGCTCGCCGCGTTCCCACAGTCGTGAATTTCCCAGCTTTCCTTCCGGTGCTCGAGTCCCGATTTCATCCCCTGGGGCCAAAGAACACGTTTCTCTGCGCTCAGCCGTCTGAGGTCAGGGACTGGTTTTGTGGCCTGACACGTGGTCTGTCCCGGAGGACGGCGAGGTGCCCGCACTGCCGGCCGGCCCCTCCCGGGCTGGTTTCGGCCCCGTCCTCCGTCCGCCACGGAAGGTGGGGTGTCGGCGTCCCCACCCACCCCTGTCGGACCGACTGCTTCTCCCGCGCTCCTGCCAGGTCTTGCCTCAGGTATTGGGGCTGTGCGTGAGCGTGTACTGCGGGCTCCGTGCCGGGCCACCAGCGCAGTGACGTGCATCTCGGAGTGAGTCGGAGCCTTTCCGCGGTGGAGGGTCTTGCGCCCAGGGGAGCGCGGTCACGGGCGGCGCCGGTGCGCGTGGGCCGCGCTTCCTCCCTCGGGGACTGACCTAATTACGCGGCCTCTGCGCCTCTAGGAACTGTCTCCGTCTGTGTCTCTTGTGTGGCGTCAGCATAGCTTTTGGGCGTCGTTTGCATGGTGTATCTTTCTCTCTCCTTTTACTTTTCATTTTATCTCTGAATCTAAAGAGTTTCTTAGAGCAGCGCATAGTTGATCATGGTTTCTAATCTATTCTGCCGATCCCTGCTGCTCGAGTGGGGCGTTTAATCCGCCTCCCCTTAACGTAATTGCTGATAAGGTAAGATTTATGTCTCCCGTTTCTGTTTGTTTTCTGCATGTCTTCTTTCCCTTTCCTCCTCTGCCACTTCTTTCCTGAGTGTTAAATGGGCATTTATAATGCAGTCTAGTTTGAGTGAACACCAGCTTCATTTCGGTGACATACAAAGCTTTGCTCCAGTCTAGCTGTCCCCCCCAAGCTCTGTGTGCTATTTTTGTCATGCAAATGAAATCTTTATAGATCGTAAGCCCATCAGCGTAGTTCCGTAATTATTGCTTTATGCAGTTGTCTTTTAAATCAGATAGATGGGGAAAAAAAGGGTTTGCAGCGAGAAGCGCATCCGTAGAGTCTTTTATTGGCTGTGTGGTCGCCTTCGCCGCTGTTCATTTCTCTTTGGGATGTGAGTCGTGTCTTTTGCTTGGTCCTAGAAGACGCCCATTAGTATTTTTTGTCGGGAGGGTCTACTGAAAACGAAAGTTCTCTCCACGTTCGTTTCCCTGGGAAAGTCTTCATTTCTCCGTCACTTTTGAAAAACGGTTTTGCCAGATACGGGGGTTTTTTCTCTCGGCACCTCGAAGGGGCCGTCCCGCCGCCTCTGGCCTCCCTGGCTTCTGACGGGAGCCAGCTGTCTGTGCACGGCCAGCAGGGTTTCTCCTTGCCGCTTGCAAGATGCCGTCTTTGTCTTCAGATGCTGTAACTCAGAAGTGTCTGGGTGTGGATCTGTGCGTGTGCGTCCTCGTGGAGTTTGTTGGGCTTTGGGGACGCAGAGATGGCTTTTCCTCACACTCGGGCCGTTTTGGCCATCGTCTCCTCAGAGGTTTGTCCTGCCCCTTCTCCCGTCGCCGGGCGCTGCCGTGTGTGTCGGTGGCCGTGGCGTCCCCCTGGGCTCCGAGACCCTGCTCACTTTCCTCACTCTTCCCTTGCTCAGGCGGGACCCAGTGGTCCGTCTGCAACGTCCGGCTTCTTCACCGACTAAAGTCCGGCAACCTCCTGGTGAACTCCGCATGTCAGCGCTTGACTCCTCAGCTCTAGAACTCTCCGTGGCTCCCTCCTGCACCTTTCGTCTGCTCACGGACGTTTCCTATGTGCTGCAACGTCATTCTCACACTTTGATTCCTCGAAGTGTGAGCAGGCGGCTCACTCGGGGCCTTACTGCTGTTTCTTTACGCGTCTCATAATTTTCGTTGTTGGAAATTGGACATTTCAAATACTATGACGTGGCCGCTCTGGCGGTCAGACTCTACCCCTTCTGGATTGTTTGGTTGTTGCTGTTTGCCTGTTGAGCGTCTGGACGAACTCCGTAAGCTCTGCATCCTTTGCCGTGCTTGGCCACCGAGTCTCTGCTTGGTTAGCTAGGGGCGAGCTAATGGCTGCACAGAAGTTTCCTTAAATGCTTTGATGCGGTGAGTCTTGCAGTTTTTACCAACAAGCTGTGTGTGTGTGTGGCGGGGGGGGCACCTTCCACACTCAGCCGGGCGGTCGCCAGCTCTGCCTTAGGACTTCCTCCTCCCCGAGCAGAGCCGCGGTCAGCCCGGGCGAGAGCTTAGGGCCTTCTTGGGGCCTTTGAGATTTGGGGCCAGCTTCTTGTTGACCCCAACTGGTGTCACCACTGCAGGCAGCCACGATGTTAAACTGTGCCGCTGATTGCTTTCGACAAGCCCGCCTGAGCCAGTCGAGTCAGGGCGAACAAAGACACGCCCCGTGAGCGCGGTGGCTCCGGCCAGCGGCCAGACAAGCCAGACCGTCCTCCGAGGACGAGGCCTCTGGGCTGCCCCGCACCCGCTCCCCTTCCAGGGGCCGTGGGGCTGCCACGGAGCCGGAGAGCCGGGGGTGGGAGGAGCACGAGGTGGAAGCCGCAGAGCTCGCTTTCGCCGAGACTCAGCTGTTTTCTTGAGAAAACACCCCTTGGCATTTTACAGGTCTTGGGTTAATTCCCAGCGTTCTGAGCAGCTGATTCTGTCACGTCTGTCCACTGCTCTGGGGCATCCCAGGCGAGGCGGTGTCCCAGCCCTCTGTCCGCCTTGGGGAGGGTGACGTTCGCGTGGGGGGCAGGGCTCGATGGCCGCCCGGGGCTCCTCCTGGCCTCCCGCCGCTCCCAGCCGTCCTGCAGCAGATGTCCCTTTGCGCGTGGACGTGGCCCGGGCGCCGGCTTCCCAGAGGTGGGGCTGCGGGGCCGGCGTTTGTAGGGGCCCAGCGTGGGAGACCGCGTCTCTGCAGAAGCGCAGGGGCCGAGCGGGCTCGCTCCAGCCATGCCGCCCCCTCCGCGTGCCCCCGGCAAGCGACCCGCCGGGCGGCCTGGAGGGCGGAATCCGGTGACGGACCCTGCTCCGAGGGGTGGGACGGACACTTCGTGTCCCGGAGCGGCTGTCCTTGTCCTCCGCAGATCACACGTCCCGCCCCGTGCTCACACTCTGTTGGGTCTTTGGTTTATTATTAAAATGTAAGAGCTTTTTCCTTCAAGAAAACTAGCTCTACGTGGTGAGTTGCAAATATTTTCTCAGTTTGTTCTCTGATTTTGCTCTTTTTTGCCATGCAGATTTTTTTTTATGCACTTGAATTTAATCTTTCATGGCTTCTGAGTTTGCTGTTTCTTCCCCACTCAAAGATTATACAAAAAAGTCCTTCCATACTCCCTCCCAGTACCTTTATGGGTTTCATCTTTATGTTTTAATCACTGATCTGTTCACTTATTTTAATATAAAACATGACCCAGGAAGTCTCATTTTTTATGTCAGATAGCTACTCAGTTTTCCCAACCCCTTATCGATGAATCCATCGCTGTAGCTCTGGAACACCTGTCCCGTATTAAAGCGCTCTTCGGAGTGGTCCCGTTTCTGCCTGTTCTGTCCCATCGGCTCGTCTCCCGCTAATGCTGTCATACTGCTTTAGTTACTATAGCTTCGTCATACATTTTTATGTCAGAGGCCTGTGACGTTTCTGTCCATCCCGAGGTAAAGTTCACGACCCAGGTGAAGAGGTGGCAGAGGAGCGTGTTCACACGGACCGCGTTCAGGAATACTTCGTCACGGTGCGCTTTCTGTCAAATGTCTAAGCAAATCTCCGTGAGCGCTTATGGAAAGGCGGGCCTGCCGGTCCGTGCGTTTCTGACTGCGGGAAAGCGGGCAGTGTGGAGCCATGGGTGCTGGGCTGGCCCTTTTGGCCCGAGGTGCAAGCTTCACCTCTCCGAGCCTGGGGTGTCAAGCGACTGGGTGCTGGGGGTTCCTGGGCGAGGGCCCACTCTCCTTAGGCCCCAAGTGAACTGGAGGAGGCTGCCCCCTTTCCCGCCTGTGCTTGTCACACTGTGCTTTGGGTTCTGTGGGTCAGGGACGGGCAGCAAGGCCTGGGGGCTTGGCTAACAGGTGCATTTAAGCCGTGGCGTGAGCCCACCTGCAGGAGAGGAGCACCCTTGGGGGGTAGGGGCTGAAGGACCAGGGGAGTGAGGGAGGGGGGCATGGCGGGGGAGCCGGTCCCAGCAGCTGCTCTTCTTCCTGCCATGCACGGGGCTCCAGAGCAGCTGCCTGGTGACGCAGGCATCTGGGTGGGCCCAGCTGGGCCTCAGCCTGCCCTTAGCTTCGAGCACTCGGCACCAGTGTGGGGACACATGGGCACAAGCTGGTCTCCCACACAGCCAGCAGGCTGCTTCCAAGGGGCTGCCACACAGAACTGTGTGGCATGGGGTGGGACATGGCACCCTGGAGTTGCCACCCCCCCCGTGGGAGGTGGAGTGCTGGAATGGGCAAGACCTTCCCCATGGACCTCTGTGCCTCAGCCCTGTGTCCTCCTCTCATGTGACACTCTCTGCAACCCTGAGAGTGGCCTGCTTGACCCCACTGACACTCCCTCCTGCCACCACAGGGTGCTCTCCCAGCGTGATCGCCACCCCCTCAGAAAGCCCGTCCTGCTTCTCACAGGGGCTGGGGAAGGTTCTGTGCTGAATGACACCTTATGTCACCACGTGACCCTCAGTGACCCAGGACAGAGGCCTGGGGACTAACTGCCCTGGGCCCTGGGTGCCAGGTGGGATGGTGGACATGACATTTCAGGCCAGCTGGTCACGAGCAAGGGGTACATAGTAACAAGCGACAAAAGGGGGCGCGTGAGGGAGGAGGGACGGGAGGGCACCGCCGAGTGGTGGGGGCTGGCTGGGCGGCCAGGAGACGCGGCTGAAGAGAAGAGCCGTCTGCTGCTGTGTGGAGGACACGGGGGTGGCACGGCGGCCTGAGCGGGCGGTCTGTGCAGGACAGCGGGTGGGGCACGGGTCCCCGACCCCTGGGCCCCGGGATTTTGAGGAAGGGCCCTGCAGGGAGCAGGCAGTGGGCGCCAGCAGGCAGCCATGTAGACAGCTCTTCGGGGCCGGGCAGGGCGGGGTGGAGGGAGGACGGTTTGGAGGGTGACGGGAGGGCACACGGCAGGACCCTGCTGGGGGCGGGTTAGTGAGGGGTCGTGAGTGGGGTCAGTGAACGCGATGGGGTGGGGAGCAGGCCACTGGCCAGGTGAGAGTCCACAGCCCCCAGCATGCCCAGCAAGGGGCTTCCAGGGGCAGAGCAGCTGGTTAAAGGAGCTGGGCAGGCGAGGGGGGAAGAGGGCAAGCGTCCTTTGTAGGTGGCAGGTCAGCTAGCAAACCCCAAGCCCATTCTCCCCTTACTATTAGGAATAACAGGCTGGTGGCTAAGAAAAAACTACATTTCCCAGCCTCCTTTGGCTAAGAGTAGTCATGTGACCAAGCTCTGGCCAATGAGATGTGAGCAGCTGTGTTACCGGGGTTTCTGGGACCACTCCTTAAAAGGAGCCCTTCTTTCCCCTTCCTTCCTGTTTGCTGACTGGAATGGGAATGCGATGGCTGGAACCTTGTCCTCCATCTGGGTCCACGAAGATGAAGGCCCAGCCCAGGGATTGTGCAGCAGACTGCTGGACAGAGTCGGCTCTCCAAGGACTCTGTGAAGGTGTCATAGCTGTCCCGGGCTGACGACGGCCAGAATTCCCTCACACAAGATAAAGTCTCCTTTAAACTTCTGTTCATTCGGCTTTTCCCTGCAGCCAGAACAAATCGTGACGCACAGCGGGGCCCGTGGCACGCCGGGCGTGGGCCGGGCATGGTGGGGGGCAGTGCAGGCAGGGCGCCCCCAGGGACGGGGGCCTGCGCCCTGGGCTCATGCCTGTGGGGCTGTACTGCACCCACTGACCGGTGCCCCTCCCATGCAGGTGGCTTTGCTGTGGAAGCCTCGTGAGACCAGTGCTGGGGTCGGAGTGGACGTTGACCAGGCCAGGACTGGCCCCAGGAGCTTTAGGGGGGCCCTGGGGTGAGGCAGCCCCTCGAGACATGGACAGCAAAGTGGGACCATAGGAGCAGGCGGTGGACACGATGGGTGAGGGCCAGGAGGGTCACCGCTCACTTCTGCCTCCAGCTCAGGCCCTGAGGGGCTGGAGCCCTGAGTCGCACCCAGGAACCCCGGTCTGGGAACTGGGCAGGCAGGGGTCTCCCAAGCCTAGTGGGAGGAAGAGGGTGGGGCCGGCCTGGGGGGGCCCCGGGGGAGCAGCTAGAAGAGCCTGCTCCCCTGAGCTCCCAGGTGCACAGCAGATTCTGGAGACCTGGTGGGAGAGGGAGCTGGAGAGCTGGGGCTGGAGCTGGGGCTGGAGCCAGGCCTGACCTGGGTCCTCCGGGAAGGAGCAGGGCACCCAGGCTGGGGCAGGGGCGCCCCCAGCAAGCCCCGTGACCCTCCAGGCCTCGGTTTTCTCTTGTGTAATATACAGAGAGGGCCACAGCACGGACACCACACGGGTGCTGGGAGGCTAGGGTGGGCTGGCACGGGTCAGTCCCTGCAATGCGCAGCACAGAGACGGCGGGGGGAGGGGTGCTCGGGGAGCAGCCCACTCCTGCAGCGCCTGCACATCTGCCTTCGCGGTGCTGTGGCACCAGCTCCGGGCTGAGCCGGGGTGGCCTGGAAATGGAGTGGAGCACATGCTGGTGGCTGTTGCTCCCTTGGCTCCAGGGCCTGCAACCCACGGTGCACCCCTGGCTCGCCCTGTACCCTGGCCCACCCTGCAGCACTGGTCCACCCTGCACCCCGGCCCACTCTGCACCCTGGCCCGCCCTGCACTCCTGGTCTGCCCTGCACCCCTGGCCCGCCCTGCACCCTGGCCCACCTTGCACCCCCTGGCCCGCCCTGTACCCCTGGTCCGCCCTGCACCCCTGGCCCGCCCTGCACCCCGGCCCGCCCTGCACCCCAGCCCACTCTGCACCCTGGCCCGCCCTGCACCCAGGCCTGTCTACACCCTGGCCCACCCCGCACCTGTTCCACAGCCAGGGCTGCTGTTGGAGAGTCCACACGTTTGACCTCTCTTTCTGGGTGAACTTGGAAGATCAGCTGGCCTTGGTGGGTGAAGGCAGGATGTGGGGTGGGGAGAGGGAGGAGGCCAGAGCTGGAGCGTCTGTCGGAAGCTCCCTCTCGCTTTCTCCCCCACCTGCCTCTAGTGGAGGATGTTGAAGGGCCAGCCCGAGTGCAGGTGGGTGCAGGTGTGGAAGGTTGGGTGGGAGGGCTGAGGTCTCAGCACCAGCAGGGGCCGGAGCCCGGATGGATGTGTACGCACACAGCTAAGCTGGGTAAGGTGGGCGGGGTGAGGCAGGTGACCCTCTGGGGACAGCCCCAGCTCCTTCCCAGCCCCATGGCGCACCCTCCCCTGGCCACTCCGCCCAGCTCCTCCATGTGGGGCTGTGGCTCCTTGCTCTGCAGCCCCAGCGCCCCGCTCAGGCTAAGTGCACAGTAACGCTGATGATTTCATATGAGGCCAAGAGCCTTCTGGAGCCTTCTGGAGCCTTGGGGGCTCCTCAGTCAGCTGCCTAAACCCTAGGGGCCCAGGCCTCAGCGCTGAGGCCAGGGGTGTCCCCACCCCCCTGCAGCCCCTCCTGTCACCCACAAGTTGGGCAGTGCTGGGCTCTGTGAAACTGGGAGGGCCCGGCCCCCAGGCGCCACCTGTGCGGGGACAAGGAGAGCAGAGGAGGGGTCAGAGGAGGGGTCGCAGGTGGGGGGAACCTGGGGTCTGATGGCGAAGCTCAGTCTGAGGGACCCTCGCGCCCCCACCCCCCACAGCTCCAGTGGTGTGCCTGGTAGCACAGAGGCAGGGTGGTCCCACGTGCCCCAAGGACCGCTGCTCCTCACTCGCCCTTTGCCCACTGGTGACAGCGGGGGCAGGGTGGGGTCACTGCCACCACCCCTGCAGGGCCGTCCTGCTGCTCCCCAGCCCCAGCTCCACTGCAGTGTGGGACGCGGAGCAGGCAGGGACCGGAACTCAGTTCTGGACGCGGAAGGAGACGCCTGGAGGACGCTCAGGCCCAGAGCGTCCGGGCCCCTCCGAGGGCGTGGGGCTCCGACCCGGACCAGCCGCACTACCCGGACGGGCACATGGCCCCACCATGTCTGCTGTCCCCTCTGAGTCCTTCTCGAGTCCCCAGCGCTGCTGCTGTGGGGCCCCTTTATCACTGCGCAGCGCTGCCTGTGTTCTCGCAGCCACCTGGCCCAGGGCTTCAGGACCCCTCAGGAACCGCGCCCAGAAGGGACTCGCGGGTTGTTTGAGGAGAGCTGGCCGCGCTGGAGCACTGACCTCTGCAGGCCGGGAGCCCGGCTCTCCTTTCCGCATGCGGCGGCAGCTCCCTCCTTGGGGGACAGGCGGCGCGCCCCCCAAAAGTTCCCAGCTGGCTCTCAGGGGAGAGCGCTGTGCCCCAGCCCCAACCCTGTGCCGGCCCTGTCCCACTGGTCATCTCTCACCCCCAAATCCCCTCGAGGCCGCACGGAGGGGAAAGGGGACGTCCCTGAGGCTACGGGTTGGCAGCGCAGG